AGTGAAGAGTCTTGTTTGATCCTCTCTCTCTGTGGCATATTGAGTTGGATGAATTGTCACATTATCCTTGAGGTTTGTTATAATTGTTTAGATCTTAAAAGTATAATATCTAAGTATGTTAATTTTTCAAAGTGCACTGTCTTAGTAAGAAAAAAAAAGTTGAAAGTACAATGTTTAAAATATTTTGAATATAAAATGCTATAAATGTTAACCAAAATGAAACAAGTTCATATTTTCAAAATACAAGTCTTAGTAGGTTAGATTTTTCAAAATGCAATGTGTTAATAAAAAAAAATAATTAAATGTACAATGTCTTAAAGGAAAAATAGTTGTCGAAAAAATTGAACTGCATTGTTATAATTGGCAACATTTTTGATTTATCAAAGTATAGTGACTTGATAGGAAAAATAATAAAATTAAACTGTCTTAATAGAAGGTTTTTAGACCTTAGCATCTAAATAGCATTCAATTACAAAATACAAAGTCATGAGGAAACATGGAAAAGATTTTTTTTATTATTACCATATTAGACATCTTGCATGTATATTGCAAAGTAGACTTTGGTTTCTTACCTTGGCATCATTTATGGTCATTTAGCTTTTTTTTTTTCTAGATTTCTATATGCTCTTCTTGACTGCTCCAGTTATCCTATCAAATAACAACAAATTAGTAATTAAAATACATATTTTAAGATTCGCTTACAATATTCAGAAATCCATATAACATGGGGAAGAATCTATGTGTTGATAAGTGTGGAACATTAGGTGACCCTAATAACAATCCGTGATGACAATGTTTTTGTTATTAGCCAAAACTACACTAAGATTAAAATCAAGTAAAAATGATAATAGAACATCAATACATGATTTAACTTGATAAACAAACCAACAAACTACATTATGTTAAACAGAACACATTCAGACCATGACTAATCTGAACAAAACCTTTGAAACAGGGCAAAGCATAACAGAAATGACCATAACCAAAGCCACTTGTCCATTTTTTTTGCATGAAACACAGATAATGAAAATTTTGCTATTACAACAATACTGTAATAAAAAGAAATAAAACGAGGGTGATATAAGACACAAATAAATGGAAGTAAGTTCCATGACATCAGGAGACAAGGGTGATGCACCTGAAACCATTAAAGCAAGTTTGTCTTGTTTTTTATTTTGTTAAAAACTAATCTGTCCCACATAGCATAGGAGATGCACTTTTGCCTGAAAGATATAATATCAGACATATTATATTCTTTAAAGTATGGAAAGCTAAATGGCTCCCTCCCTTGTGCTAATTTTTTTTTTATAAATAGTTACCTTTAAGTAATGTTTGCATCTTCACATTAAATGCAACACTAAACAATCTTTCTCTATGACCACCATATGACTAGTCATTTGGATTCATAACACTGCAACAACCACAAACCTAATTGAGCATCAATAATATGGCATACCAAATTGAAAAATACAACAAATCTATCATACCCATCATATCATATACTCTGTTACCTAATTGAGCATCAATAATAAGGAAATCATTATCATGAACTTTATTCAGACAGAAGATGAAATTTGAGTTTCTTACTCCTTGATAAAATCCAACTAAGCCACCAATATCATCTGGTTGGACCTTTCATATATGTGTGAAAACAATTGGCATTTGATGGATACAACTTTAATTTCAAGGCTTCCACCAGTCTGGTTTCTATCCCCTAACCATGTAGGAAAAGGAATAAGTTCCACTTAAGGTAAGAAAAGATTAAACTTTGGTAGACTTGAAAAAAAAAAAAAAAAAAAAAATTGGTGTCCACTTGTATACCATATTGTAGCAACATCATCTTCTTTTTGGTGATCGAAAAGAAAAGGGTGATGGTTGTTATTTCCCTAAAAAGCAACAATTCATATGGCAAATAAATCAGTAATCAATTGATAGAAATCATGAAAGAAAGATTAACAACTCAAATCAAAGAAACTCATGTTATTGGAGATAGAAGTTGAAGTGTGTTATTATGATAACAAGATAGACCTAGTGAAAAGTTCTAAAATGTGATTCAACAAAGGGATTTGAAGTTACCTGAATATTACCAGTCAATATGAGTTCTTGAAGGTTGTAGCTTCATTTCAATAAAGAATCTTATCAGTGCAACCAATAAGAAGTGAACCAAATGATTAACTGTCAAAACAACAGAAGTTATCAATTAAGTGAGTTCATAACAAATCAAGAACAGGATAGATATAGTGATTCTAGATGCTATGGTCTCACAAAAGAAGAAGAAACTTCTAAAATATTCTGCCTGCCTTTCTAACAAACGCCCTCCCATAATATATAACCTAAAATGATAGAGGATCTGCCTTAATTCCCAAAATGCCCCTGCTATCCCACTAACTTTGTAGTGCCCTCGTGGTTGTCTGTGGTCCCCTCTCCCATTGGAATCTTTTGTCTCTGATAGGTGAATTGCAAGGGTGGATGCACAATAGTTATCTGTCACAAACAGATCAGCAACTGAAATATCAAAGTGATTGATTAGCAACTGAAATATCAAAGGGTTGAAGTGCATATAACATCTATTAGATGGACCTCTTTTTTGTAACCTTATACTCAAAACACTGATTTCAATTATAAATTAAGCAATAACAATGCACTTTCTTACCTTGGCATCATATATGGTCATTTAGTTTTTTCTTCTTTTTTTTTTGACTGCTCCATTTATCCTACCAAATAACCACAAATTAGTAATTGAAATACATAAATTAAGATTCACTTACAATCTTAAGAAATTCATATAACAATCAATACATGATTTAACTTGATAAACAAACCAACAAACAACAATATGTTAAACCTAACACAATTAGTAAAATGCAAATCAATGAAAGGGAAACAAAAAAAACATTATTAGGTGCTGGATTCTTTCATGATCACATACCCACAGAAAGAGATTTGACTAGAACATCATGATATTCATAAAAAGGCTGACAGAATCAAACTTGCAATTTTGTCTCTAAATCTAATTGCAGTTTCCTTCACCATTGTATTTGTATCTTTCAAGTTTTACTTTAAAGATTAGTTTATTATATCTTACCCATGAATATAATCTTTAAGCGGCCTCCAGGTGCCCACAACCCAAACCATGCATCCTTCTTCATCAATTACTTGTCTCCTGACAAAATCTTAGAAATGTTAATTTCAATGCATGCCAAAAAGCATACATTTGCACTTCATCTTTGTAGTACACACACAAATTACACCAACAGGGTATGATGGTTGATCATCGGATGTATATTTCATCTTAGGAACATCCACATCTGAAACAGGAACATCATTCATTAATAATGGTTTAAATGCAAGAAATACTAAAGTAGTTTCATTTTTCCAATTATAGAATTGTGGTTGAAAAAATCTACCCAGTTATAGCAATGTCATAAAGTATGTTAATCCCATCATTTCTTAGAGATAATACACAAGCATGACTGCATGAGTTTTAGGAACATAGGGGTATTTCTGGAAACACATAAACATGGTCATAGACTCATATCTTTTGTAATCAGTGGATAGAAGGCAGTAATTTGATAAAGCAAGTTCTCATAATCTCGTAACAGAAAGGCATAATCACCCAACACCCTTATTGGAGATTCAATGGAAAGCTAAATAAGAACATAAAAAGCATCAACTGTTTTATAGTTTTAAGGGTAAAAACATACATGGTCACACTTTTGATTCTCAGGGGATCTTCTTTTCCTTTTCTCCACCATAACATAAGCTCTTAATGTGGTTTCCAAAACCTTTTCTTGTTGCAGAGTAATGAATGGAATTTGTCAAACAAGTTGAAATTAAGAATAACAATCAATCTCAGATTAACGTATGGAAGTGGTTCACAAAATACTTTTGAAATGAATGGAATTTGTCAAATGGAATGGAAAGGATTTCAATTCTATTATTTTGTTGTTTTGTGTTTATTTTAAAAATCTATCAAAAGAATTGAAGTGCAGTATGTTAAAATGACTGAAACACCCTTTAGTGGTTTTTTTTATAAAATAACAGAATTGCTATATACCAAAGAAGATTTTATTTATGATATTAAACACGAACTATATACACATCAAACATACATACTCTGATTTCATAAACATTAAACAAAAAAATAAGACACTAATGGTGAAACAATTAGATAGAAAATGGATTAAAAATATTTTACAAAATGACTAACAAAAATGGATGCAAAAGACATAAGACATGAGAATAACTGGAATGCAGATGCAATTACACTACCTGTGCATTATCAGCCTCTTCGGTTAATGAAACCAGATAACATAACAGGGCTTGTCTCCAATGTCTTGAGCTGCACATACCATGACCTTTTTATTTTTCAAAGATATTATTAAACAATGAAAAGAGAGCACTTACAATATTCTCATATATAATGATTTTATTCACCAAAGAGACTTGATTATCACCCCATCAGATATATAAAAGTAAACATCAGGATCCCTGTCAGTTGAAGAAACAACAAAAAAGCCTGCACATTCATTTGGATATTAAACAAGTTACTTAATAGGAAAACATTATAACATGTGATGAATGTTATGAACATCTATAAACAGATTTGGTTGTGGAAGTGGAACATCTCATGTATTTTAATTTAATTGGAAAGGAAACATAACTTAATTAAACAGAAACACACAACTTTATATGAAACTTTTAGTTAGAACCAAAGTACACTTGTATTTCTAATTGAGTTAGAAATACAAACAATAAATTATCTTTCACTAATTGAATTTCTAATAACTCAATAAGTTGTTTAATATTTTAATTTGGTTTGTGATTATTTACATCTCTCTACATAATTTAATCCAGCAACATTTTTACCTTCAAAACAAAGCAAAACAACTCTTTAGGTTAATTAAGACATTTCATCAAACACCTAAACTGCACAGATAAACAATCTACAACTAAGAACTACTTTTTTGGGTTTCAAAACTATTTAAATTTTACCAACATCACCACTTGCTTGACCAATCATCTTCGTTTGATGGATGCTTTGGTTTCAATTTGGCGACCTGATTCAAAAAACCATCGAATCAAAAGATAAATGGAGGAGAAAGAGAAAAAACACAAAGAGGTCATGGTGTTAATAAAAGCTGCAATTAAGTAAACCTATGTCGTTAATATACCTTTTGTACAGTGTTTGATCCTTTTAGCGATGATGAAGCATGCTTAGAAGAAAAAAATTAGTTTCGTGACATAAAAAGTTGCCATACACTTAGCCTAAAACACGTCACGTCATTATTGAAAAGATACAAGTAAACACAATACCTAGAAATCAGAGGAAAAAGATCTATACTCTTTTTATTGATCGATGATGATGGTAAACCAAACTGACCGATGAATCCAGGAACGAACGAATAATGAACGAAGAGCGACCTGAATAATCTTCTTGGCCTATTGAAAATACCTAACAAAAACAAAATCAAAGTCAATAATACACACACAAAAAAAAAATCAATAAGTTTAACTAACAGACGAAGAGGGAAACACAGAGGATTGTTGAACGCCGGATAATGAAAGAAAGAGACAACGGTGGTGTCGCTGGAAGAAAAAAGAGAAGAAGGTGGTGCCTCCAAATAAAACCCTCTTCTTCTTCTTCTTCTTTTTCTTCTTCACTGAAACATGTCTCCGATGGTGTTTGGAGATCACCGGGATGACTATGAGTGAGTGAAGAAGGTATAAATTAGGCGTAATACACCGACCCAACCCTTTGGACTTCCTAATTTCAACGGTTTTTTTATAAAACATTTCCAAAATTAAAACCATTCCAAAAGTCAAACGAGTAACAAAATCCAAAATTAAAACTTTTCCATAATTAAAACGGGGATTCTAAACACATGGTTGAAAGTTGAAACCATTTACGATGGTCAAAGCTACCATCAATCGAATCAAATTAAATAAATATTAAAAAAAAATACAATAGTTATCCATCCTAATGTCTATTTTTTTTTTTTAATTAAATATTATTTTTATTTTTATGTTTAATTTAGACTAAATAACTTCTATATCAATGTTTATAATGTAATTTTAGTTTTCAATAATTATTACATGTATTTTCCTTTCTATTTATTTACGTTATAATCTTGAAAAAAAAAATATTTCTTATAATATCTTAGGTCTTTTAACAATATTGAACCTAGTTTTAAGTTTAAAAAAATAGATTTTTTTACCGGCATAACCTCTCAATTCAATTAGTTTTTCATTAAACCAAAAGGTTTCTTTCTTTTTAATTATATCCGGGTTTTTTTTCATAACTGACCTTTCTATTTAACCGGTCAAATAATTTGTTCTAGTTTTTTAAGGTCTACAATCTGACCTGAAGTATTATTAATTATTTTATTTTTATCGGATTCAGTTAATTACGAACCATGTTGTGTCATGTGCTAGATTCGCCACTGATATTTATGAGTTTGTGTCTTTTCCACCACTTTACTTTTTAAAATATCACTTTAAACCCTTCACTTTGAATTTTGAAAATGTTACTTTGACCTCTCTATTTTCTAAATTTTCATGTTTTACCTCGTATTATATAATAGATAAAAAGCATAATTATAAGTCTTGAATTTTGTATGTTGAATTTTGACGATTGTATTGAAAAAAATTATATCGAAATGTAGACAAACTCGAATGTAAAAAAACTTTGGACCAAATTTGAAAAATAAAATAGTCCAAAATTGTAAAACAAAGGAAAATACATGGATTGAAATATGTGTTGCGAGAATATAACATGTACAATAAACAATATATTATTTACTCTCTAGGATTTAGGATTACATTTAGTTATAGCGTAATGCACTCTTTAAGGTGTATTTTTTAAAATAAATATGTTAAAAAGAACATAATTTTTACATATTTTAGGTGTTGCTAAAAATCTCCACATGATGGAACATGTGTGTGTGAAAGTCAACACACAAACATTACACCCACACACACGGGTACATTTAAGATACCCATTTAAATATAGGAAAAAAAAATTTAAAATAAATGCATGAAAAGGAAAATCTAAATATTTGTAAAAATTGTTTTTTAAAAGAAAACTAATTTTATAAAACGATTTCATAAAAAAACAAAGATAGTAAAAAATAACCTTTATAAATACAGAAAATGAATTTAAATTTTTAATTTGTAAAAAAAATTTAAAAAAAACATACAACACAACATAAATAATTGTTTTAGTAAAATAACTAATTTTATAAATATGATTTCATACTTATAACAAAATTAATATAAAAAAAAAACTAAGTTTTAAGAAATATATAAAAAGAAAGTTATAAAAAAATATTTGTAAAAAGTTTCTAAAAGAAGTTTGGACAAATTAGAAATAAAACTTATAAAAAAACTCAGTCAAAATATAAAACGAAAGAGGAAGGTATCAATTTTCCAATAAAAGATAAATTTATAGGTTAAAATGGTAAAAGTGAAAAGTTAGGGTGTTGTTATTCGCACTGGTAGATAGATCTACCACTATAAAATTCCTTTGTGTTGTCATTACCTGTTGTTCGATGATGTTTATAAGAGTGAATCTAAGTTCGAGCCCAAGTAGGGCATAAAAAGATTGAGTCCGAATAAAATAAATTTGCTTAAGGTAGTGGGTTTTGAGAACCTTGTCCGACATAGAGCCAAATTTAGTCACGAGAATTAAGAAGGAGATGATGATGGTGATCGACATAAGAATTGCAGCCTTCGTTGTGACGAAGCAACTGGCGACTAGAGTTACTAACTGTTATGGTGTGGTTGTATGTCGACCTCTCATAACCTAAGGAAGAAGCATCAAGCTTCTGACATAAGAAGAGAATAGAGAAGGAAGGTGTCTTCCGTACCATGGTTTATCTCGTAAAGACAAGAATTCAAATCGCCATGAATCTTTTTATAACAAAATGTTATTAGTTTATAATCGCTAAGTTAATTATTGTAGTTAAGATAGATACCACTTCATAAGATGAGTTGCAAAGGAACGTGTGTGCTCACTGGAAGTTGAGTCTACGACTCAAAAGCTGGGACTGAAATTCAATCATAGGATAGAAGAACATGAGCAGATTCAGGCACATCGATCGGCAAATAGGTTCAAACCAGTAGATTCTCGCTCGACAAATTAGGAAAGTGGGGTTCATTATAGAGAGTATAAAAATACACATGCGAGTGTCTTCTGTATGTTTGCATCCGAGTGTTCCATAAATGGTTGAGATGACCATTACGAGAGGATCAGTAGGAAGACAACAAGTCGATTGGTCAAGAGAGAAACAAGAGGGTATTAGATTTAGCAACCATCTTTGTTATTAGTATTTTGACTAAGATGGCCATATCCTCCTTTACCCTTAGTTATATCTATGCATCGGTGCGTTTTGACAAGAAGGTGACTGGAAAAAAAAATAAATAAACTTCAAACTATTTTGGTCTGCGATATGAGGAGATCACTTACGATAAATACAAGTAGTAATACTATGATGGAAATATCAAAGGGCATTGGATATAACAAACATGAGTTTCTTCAAAGTCAAAAGGAGATAGCATTAGAAGAGCTAGTTTGGATCGGTGATGAGCAGGAGTAGACGATGGGTCAAACTCAAGTGGAGGAGAATCGACCTCTGAAGCGAGAATGCAAAAGGAAGTTCGACTTTTGGTTTCAACGAAAAAAAGTCTAGGAGAGTTGAGACACAAAAAGGTGGAAGTTATCCGTTTCAGTTTAATTAGTACGGGTAAAAGAAGAAGGGAGTCTTCTAAAAGAATACCAATAGGATTATATGTTTCTCAAAGTGGTTATCGAGGAATGGTTGGATTTTCCTTTTAAGCGTTAGGTAGAGTCCAGAAGTTACCAAATCCCAGAAAACCATATAGGTTCATGCATTCAAGGATATAGGATTTATCCCTACAACATACGAGCCATTTCACTAGAAATTCATTAGGTCACTTAGTTCACTATAAGGAGCATCAAATCGTGTAGAAAAATGATGGAACAATCAAGACATATATTAGACTTAGAAAGTTTAAGATCTAGTAATCCTATATCAAGGATTAACGGTAGCAGAAGTGAAGGCAAAGGTGAGCGTGTTTTCTTTACGAATCACCATTTGAGATGCATATAAGTAAAATAAGAGATGCCTATTAAGAGATCGTTTGAAAAGGGATGTGCCGATTAAAAGAGGTAGTAATACCTTCCGAAGTTTACTAATGTATCAACAGTATACATGATAGGATTGGTGAATCGAGTCGTTGATCCATATAGGGCCAGTCTAAACGTATATGAGGCCTGGGGCAAAAAGAACAAAATGACCCGTTAAAGAAAAATATAATAAAGATTAAAAACAAATCCTTTATTCTTCACTATAATCACGTTCAATTAGCAATAACAAGCAGGTCAAATTGTTTATCTTTTGAGCTAGTTTGAGTTTGAACCAAATTTAGGCCCTAAAAATCATTTTGGTAATAATTGGTTTATATATATACACTATATAATCCAGAAAATTTGGGCCCTATTGAGTCGTGGGCCCCGGGGCGGTCACCCGGGTTGCCCACCGTCTGGATCGGCCCTGGATCCATATGCGACTAGTTAATCTTGAGGTTATCAGTAGCAGTGAGGATAACTAAGGAACCCTATAATGGATTAGTAAGGTTGATATAAAGAAGCGACTCCTCATTAACGCCTGTGTAAGCAGTTTTGGTTTCTGGAGATTCAGCCATGGAGATGCCTCACCGGTGCAAGTGTGATTATAGTAGTAAAAAGTTCAACCTACAAGCAACAAGAGGATCCAAAGATTTCCTTTGGGAGTTAGGATGATAGTTAAGTTGTAAGATATCGGCATAAACTTGTTTAAGCTCTCCAAGTTTTCTTGGATGCAAAATTTCAATTGACAATAAAGGACACCTAAGATCGAAAGAAGTTAGAGTTAGTTCCTAGGTACGTATGTTCAATTGAAGGTCAGAGTCGAGTACGACTACATATGCGTCTAGCGATGCGCCAATGCTATTTTAGACTTCAGAGTATATTATGTGTTTGGTTTAGTCATTCCTTTTATTGATAATTAAGTAAGATATTATAAAACTATAATCGAATCTATGAAATGCATAGATTAATATAGGGAAACAATTAGACTTTAGCATCCGTGTTACATAAGTTAAGGGTCTCAAATCAGTAGTAGCCTCAAAAGGCTAAGTAGCAAATGCATGTTGTGATTTATAGACATCAAAATGGATGATGATTATGTGTTTGGTTTAGTCATTCATTTTATTGATAATTAAGTAAGATATTATAAAACTATAATCGAATCTATGAAATGCATAGATTAATATAGGGAAACAATTAGACTTTAGCATCCGTGTTACATAAGTTAAGGGTCTCAAATCAGTAGTAGCCTCAAGAGGCTAAGTAGCAAATGCATGTTGTGATTTATAGACATCAAAATGGATGATGATTTAGTTCTTTCAGAACGGTGAGATAATGGGTGCAAGTCTACAAGCCACCAAGGTGTTGATCGTGAGTCTTTAGACCCAATGAGGGATGATGACAACAACGATCTAGTATCGTAGACCTAGTATTTGGATAGCGTCGCGACTTATCCTGAATGCGTGTGTGTGTGCGATCGATCGAATGTAGGCTAATGGTGGTTTAGTGTTCATTATGATCCAGTAGATTGAAAATGAGCAAGTCTTATAATGAGTCTGTCACCAATATTAGAGTATTGGTTCCAGAGTTTTCGAACCAGTAAACTAGTTATGGCATATTTGGTTAAAATTTAGGATGTTGGAACATC